TAGAAACCTCTAACTTGGCCTTTCGGTACTGTAGCAGCTACGACTTTGCCCTTTCAGGTAAGTAGCAGCTACGACCTTGACCCTTCAGGCAGCCTACTGCTACGACCTCTGAACTGTCTAGGCTCCTACCCTACAGGTCTACAGTTCGAATCCCTTCTACCCTGTGACCTACGAAAACCTACCTACCACTGGCGGTCCTACAGGTAGCAGGTTCAAATCTACGGGTTGACACCAGTACTGTACACAGGTAAGATGGGGAGCTAGGGGTTGAGCCCTGGGATCTGCATCAGTTACTGCGAACTGGTGAATACCGTTTCACTCCCGCCGGCCTAAATTCGAGGTCCTCCGAGAAAATTTCAGTCCAAGGCAGGACCTTTACCTTTCTGTTGCCTCTCGTAGGCCCGGACTATATCGGGAGCTGTCTCTAGAAGTTCGGATCTTGTAAACCAGCGGTCGTCTTCCGGTTCTTGATAACTGAAATGAACCTTATATTGTTTCTGTGGACGACCTGTACCTCCAGTTCTGAATACATCTTCAGCCACTTTGCCATCGATGTCATATCTTCCATCCATATCCGGTGGGATCATCGATCTACGGGATGGAAACTGATCACTTGTTTGACAAGGTAACAACTTCGATAACTGGAAAACTGGGTAAGTGTGGAGGTGTGCTGGGAGTTCTATGGTATAGGACGGTCCATCTTCGCCGCCCTTGACTTCTAAGACGGGCCACGGTCCTCTATAGGTGGGCAGTAACTTCTGCGAGATGTTCTCCTCAGGTGTAAACTCTTTAGAACTGACCCAGACTAAGTCGCCTACCTGGAACTGTGAGGGGCGATGATGCTTATTGGCTTGCTCTATCATCCTGTGTTGGGCCTTCTTGAGGTTCTCTACAACAGTAGCTAGTTCTTGCTCGTGTTGTACAGCAAACTCCCTGGTCCCGAGTTGTAATCTGTGAATCTGATCCCGGTTGAGCCCCTCAAACGGCCTGCGCGGTCTAAAGGACTTGTGCAGTTCATTGGGAGTGCGGCAGGTGGACAAATGCACGCTGTTATTATACGCACTAGCTACTTTAGGCAGCATCTCATCCAAGTTAATCTGATCTGGCCTAATGCACATGCGCAGAACTTGCTGAAGGATCTTGTTCATCTGCTCTGTCTGACCGTTAGTCTCAGGACGGCGGCAAGACGACATCAACAACTTAGATCCGTACACTCCCATGCGTTCTTGCCAGTTCTGGCTGGTGAAGCGACTATCTCTGTCGCTAACTATTGACAGTGGGATTCCATTCTCACTAACCCAACAGTCAAAAAATCTCTGTATGACTAATACGCGCCTCTGAAGGCAAAGGAACAAAAATTGCGTACTTGCTAAAACGGTCAACTATGACCATGACTTGGCTCTTACCATGCCTACTCTTGACTTGAGTGTCCATGAAGTCGATGGACACTGAGTCTCCCGGCTGATCCGGAATGGGCAAGGGTCTGAGAAGACCTAGCGGGGCGCGCGTAGAACCCTTGTTACGCTGGCAAACTTTGCAACTGCGAACATACTCTATGCAGTCATTCTTCATTCCTGGCCAAGTATATGCACGCATCAGATTGGCTAAAGTCTTTGCCAACCAAAATGACCCTCTGTGTCGTGGCATTCTCCCAAAATCAGACTACGGACCTCTTCACTACGGGGAATGCACATGCGGTCAAATACATTAGTCTTCTCAAAAAGCAACCCTTCAGTAGTGCGGTAGTTTGGCTCGGTCTCTAGGACCTCCTTGACCTTCTTGAGGAGGTCACTGTAGATAGGGTCCTGTGCATAGGCTTCTCTAATCTTCTGCTGCATGTCCTTCCCTATGTCTAAGTAATGCACTATTGCCCCAAAGTAATCAGCTCTCCTACTCAGAGCATCCGCAACTACGTTATACTTCCCCTTGACTGGCTTGAGCTCAAAGTCGTACTGATCTGTCTTTGCGGCCCACCTAGTAAGCTTAGGTGTCATCTTGGCCTACGTCTTTAACCACCTTAATGTCTCATGATCGGAATAGACTTTGAAGTGCCTCCCAAGCAAGTAGTGCTTCCAATGTTCTAAGGCTTGCCTGAGAGCGTATGGTTTCCTCTCATAGGTAGATGTCGCGACCTTCTCTGAAGGCATTCTGGCGGACATGAACTCTACGGGTCTATAACCATTGCCATCGTCTTGCTGCAACACCGCGCCATGCCGTACTGACTAGCATCCGTAGTGACGACAAAAGGCAAGGACGGATCGGCTACCTTAAGGACCGGGTACTCTATCAACGCCTGCTTTAGCTTCTTCATGGCAGACGTACAATCCTTGTCCCACTTCCAGATGGTCTCCTTCCTCAACAATCTGCGAAGGGGCGCAGCGATAGTGGAGAAGTTCCTTACAAACTTCCTGTAGTAATTTGCTAAGCCCAGGAACGAGCGCAACTCTATCAGCGTGCGCGGCGTGGGCCAATCTCTAATCGCTGCGATTTTACAATCTTCTGGTTTAACGCCGTCTCCGTCTAAGACGTGGCCTAGGTACAGGTACAAAACTTGGGTCTTTGCCCAATCGCACTTCTTTGCATTGATCTTGAAGTTAGCTTCCCTCAGCTTCTCCAAGACCTGCCTGAGATGACCCTGGTGTTCTTGGAGGGTCTTACTAAACACTAAAATATCATCTAAATAGACAACAACAAATCTATCTAACCAAGGCCTAAACAAATCGTTCATACAGCGCTGGAATGTAGCTGGCGCATTGGTTAGTCCAAAGGGCATCACTATGAACTCGTAGTGCCCATATCTAGTCCGGAAGGCGGTCTTATACTGATCATCAGGATGCACTTCTATCTGATGATATCCGGACTTCAAATCTATTTTGGAGAAATACTTCGCCCCCTGCACTCGATCTAAGAGATCGTCTATCCTAGGCAGTGGCTCAACATTTTTCACTGTAATAGCATTCAGACCCCTATAGTCGATGCACATCCTCAACTCTCCCTCTTTCTTAGGAACAAAGAGAACAGGTGCTCCAAACGGAGAGGAACTAGGCCTAATCCAACCCTTTTCAAGAAGCTCGTCTAACTGCTTGCGAAGCTCCTCTAACTCCCGTGGGGACATCCTATACACAACGCCCTTAGGGGTTCTACTGCCAGGCTCTATCTCAATACGATGTTGGATGGGCCGCGGCACCACTCCTATCGGCGGCTCAGTTAGGTCCTTGAACTCTTCCAGTAGCTTGGCAATCGCAGGGTCCATCGGCTTGTCTTCCGTAGGCTCAGTCACGGGCCTAACATAGGCAAGAAAGACCTGTTCCTCTAATTTCTCCTTCTTTACTAATCTGGCGAATGCAGGGGCAGTAAGGCAGCAATGTGCCAAGGGATTCTCTACTCCTGACACATGGAACAGGCGGGCAATCTTGGCCTCGCCTGAAGAACTAGGGAGCCTACACTCGTGCTCCTTCAAATGGAGCGTGGCCCCGGCTGCCTCTCCCCAATCCATCCCCAGAACAATATCAAATGGGAGGYTGTCTTCTRCGAGGAGAGTCAGGGAGTGGAGAACCTTCTCCACTTTCCCATCTTTCTCTAGGCRRAAATACGCCTGGACTCCCTCTACRTAAYCCTCTACAACCATGGTACGATTGTCYGCRAGGATRMTAACTATAGGGTCTGCTAGCTTCTGGACTTTAAGTCCCAGCTTCAACTTCTGCAGCGCTTTCTTGCTAATATAGCTGCGGGTGGCCCCTGAGTCTACTAGGGCCCCTACTCTTCCTCTAAAAATCTCTGTATCTAGTAGTATAAACTGCCCTTTATTATCCTTCTTCATCTTGGCCCAGGCGGGCATCCTCTCCTTCAATTCTTCGGCCACGCCTGTGAGGGAGGTGTCTAGAGAGACAGACCCTAACACAAGCAGTCTCTGGGCAGCTATCTAGACACCGGCCTGCAATCTCTGCCATAGGCACATGTGGTGTGGGAGTCTCCTGCCGGCTAACGCTGTGTTCCCCACGTGGCCTAATGGTGGGGGCAGTTGCTACCCCTACCGGCGGCTTCCTTTTGACCCTTGAGCAGTCGTTCGGGTCTCTCTGTACTTAGGACAGTATTTGATGATATGGCCCGGGTCACCGCAGAAAATGCACTGGCCCCGGTCCAATCGTTGTTGCCATAAAGTCTGGTCCAGACCCAAAGTTTCCCAAGGCTTACCCTGCGGTAGCCCCGGGTGCCATCCTCCTACCCTATAGGTAGCCCTATTCCAAGGACGGTTTTGCGGGGGACCTTGACCCCTTCCTCCCGCTTGGCGGTTTCCTCCTCTGCCGCCAACCCCCTGGTCGCCCTGGAACCGGCTCCCTGCGGCCCGGCCCCCTTGGCCCTGGCCTCGTCCTCCTCCTTGCGGCCTCCCTCCAACCGCAACAGCAGCGTAAGTTCTCCCCTGGCCCACACCGCTGTCCTCCTCCTCTAACCCCCACTCAATCTGATCGTAGGGGATCTCGTCCACACTACCCTCATCTAAGGTTAGGACAAGACTATCCTTAGTCTTCACTTGCCCAGAGATAGTGCGGTCCTTCCATTGCTTTCCCTTATCCAAATCTTCGTGCCAGAAGGTGGAAACTGACACAGACTTGGCCTCAAAGGCCACCACTTCACGGCTAAGGGAATCGTAAGTGGTGGCAGGGTCTTCGCTCTTCGCGAAGAAGTGCCCGCGAAAGGCTTCTGGCATAGCTCTGTAAAACAGGGCAACCAATTGGGTGTCTATAACCCCGTGGTCAGGGACAGCTACTAGTTCGTCCGTTGTGCTCTTGAGCACTCTGGCACTCTTCCACTTACGAGCATGGATCGTCTGGAGCTTGTCTGAGGCCTTGACACTTCGAGCGACATCTGCAAATCGCTCGCGCAGCAATTTCATGAACTCGGTGATGGAGGTAAATGTCGAATAGGCAACTACATCATCATTGCAGTTAGCGGCGCGCACTAGCGACCTTGCAAAACTGGCGGCCTCATCTCTAAGCGCATGGATCGCAATCAAGACATGCTGATCCGGGGAGACCTATTGCAGATGCACGTAGGTCTTGACGTTGGCCTCCCAGTTGTCAAAGTTCTCTTCCCTCTTCCCGCTGTAGGAATCAGGGAATTTGACCTTGACCAGCTCCCGGCGAGGAGGACGTGCTTCCTCCTCCTTGGGAGCTGCCGCCTTGACGCCTTCAATGGCGCCAGCACAAAATCGCTCACTCTTGTCGAGGCGGTGGCCCACCTCGGCTCCTACAACACCCACCAACTCGCGAGCAAAGTCCCGGAATCCCAACCGTATCGAACGTACCGCTATACGTTGACTCCTACTAAAGTCATACTGCTCGGCCTGGATTCATGTTAAGCGTGCAACGTTTTTGGCTATGACTTCCATTTTCTTTGGGAGTTCAGTTTGGGCGGCTAATTGCTCTTCTATCTTTTGTACCTCTTCTAATTCTTCTGTCGCCTCCGCTACCGCGTCTACTCTCCTCTTCTTCTCCCTCATCATCGCCAACTTCCACTCCATCCTCTTCTCATCTTCCAACGCCTGTCACTTGATGACATCTCCTTCGGCTGCCCACGCTGTCATAGCGGCTTCCTGGTCATCCTTGGGTATATACATCGCCACCTCTTCTTCTTCGCCCAGGGACAAGTTAGCAACCACTCTGAAATCCGTTTCTCCATCTCATCATCCCTGTTGCCACTGTACTGCCCCCTCTTTCTTTGCAGTGGCGTTTCATCTYCCTCCTCTTCCTCGTCCACCTCTTTCAACTTCTCCTCTTCTTCTTTCTTTAACCTCTCCTTCTCTYTGGCCATCTCTTCTTCTATCTTTTTTAACTTGGCCGCCTGCTCCTCCTGTAGGGCCTTCTTCTTGGCCTCTTTCTTCTCCTTCCTCTCTCTCAGAATGGCGGCCATCTTTTCCTCCTCCTCCTTCGAATATGGCTTGGTGGAAGCACCACCCCGGGTATCTACTCTACACGTCATCGCGTGCTAGAACCCCAGAGGGAAGAGGAGGCGCGAGAGGGTCCCCCAGAGGGAGAACCCAACAAGCAACCCATACATCGGATAGTCATCCATCGTGGTGTTAGGTGCACGACAATGTCCCACTCCTCACCACTTAGACCTACCCGGACACACAGACCTACTGACTGACTCTCCAAGGACCACAGTGTCAGACCCTGTCAACTATGGTCACTAACCCAAGACTACTCTAAGGCTGTCACTACTGAACCAAAAGCTGATTTGGAGGCATTTAAGGAGATCCCCCAAACTCCACAAGAATTCTTTAACGACGCAGACAGGACGACGTGATCAGCTTGGTTCTTCCTGGCGATTTCAGCCCACAACTCATCCGTTCCGGCCTACTGTGCCACACCGAGCAGCCCGCCGGTCTGTACCGTTCCTTGGAGGGGTTCGTATCCCTCGGGACAGTCGAGTCGTCAGACACAGATCATCAGCCTTACTAGGTCCGGTAGGGGAGTGGTTCAACCAGGCCTCAACACTTAAAGACGGCCTTCGTTTCAGCCCACAGCTCGAAGTTCGAACCCTCTACACTGAAACTGAGTAGACCTGTCGGACAGTACCGGTCATTGGGCTAGACGAGTTGTTTAACGAGCGCTCGCCGCTCATGCCCAGGTCTCCAGATACCAGAGTAGAGATTAGTCCTACTAAGTCCCGTGCAGGTCTGGCAGCAAGGCCCTATCCTTCATCCACAGAGTCCTAACACCTAGGACAAAAGAGACTCAATGCAGAAAGAGTAGACAGACAGACCCAGCAAGTACCGTGGGGTAGGTGCACATCCACAAGGTAAGGGGATAGGCTAAGGGCTCAGCGAGATATCAGCATCTCCAGCTTGGTCAAAATCTTGGTCAGCAGCTCTGGTCAACACCTTGGTCAACGCTGAGTCAACGCGGGCAACTCCCAGTCAACGCTTGGTCAACGCCTAGTCAACCCTCTAGTCAACCCTTGGTCAACCCTCTGGTCAACGCTCTGGTGAACGCCTGCTCAACCCTTCACCTCGGCTATGGCTGTCGGCACCTTCACCTTCGTCACCCTCGCCGCTTACTTCCCCTTCCTTCACTCTTCTTCTTCTTCACTTTCTCTGTTGTTTTTTTTTGTGTTCACCCCCG